TAAAAGGGTTCAATGCCGTGGAGCAAAATCAAGAAGGCAGGCAGTGGAGAAAGGTTACAGAGGTGCACTAGAGAGTTATGTGTCACCTCAAAGAGACAGGTGTCCCTGATGTGCTGTGGCAGAAGCCAGATGATGAAAGGATAGGGTCAAAAGAAAATGGAAACAGTGAAAATATATTCATTATTTTGAAAAAAACCAGAAATATCCTGCCAAGAAAAGGGGGAGAGATCAGAGATACACAGGGCATGATAAGAAAAACTATGGTGAGTATTTGAATTTAAAAAGAATTACAGTGAAAGACACACTGCTGTTAATCCCCTTCTAATCCTCCCCTCACTTCAGGCACAATGAGCCCAGTGTTCCAGCCACTTTCTGTTGCAGTTGTACAGTGCCATTTCCAGTGAATAAGGTAAATGAGGAGACACTTATATTTTTGACAGAAGTTGCCATAAATAGTTGCTCCATGTGGTATAACCAGAAAACAAGGTGAATATTTAAATTTGAATAAAAGATAGATTATTGTTAATCTTCTTCAAACTGCTCCCTCTCTTTCAAACACACTTATCTAGCCATTCTCGGCAATGTTATTTTCTAAATACTCGGACACCCACTGCAGAGCTGGTAGTGCAGCAGTCAGGAAAGGGAGCAGACAGGCAGTGAGACAGGTCGGTAAGAGTGGCTCGGGATGACTGTGAGATGATAGTCACTGGATGCTTGCTTTAACATGAGCCTCATCTCTCATCTACGTGGAGATGTGGCATCAGCTGATTCTACGGACTGTGAAGCTGAGATGCAACACATACAGAGCACTGTGGATTTTCCAGGCAGCCAGAACCTGTAAACACATCCTGCCTTTTCCCAGCAACTAGGAACACTATCCACACTGCTTGCATGACTTGCAAAACAGCAGTAACAACTATTGTAATTTTTAAAAAATAGCTTACTGGAGATTCATGTCTTTACTCACAGATGAGTTCCACATTCCTAACTTTGGTTATGACTATAACATCTCAACTATCTTTCCTGGTTCATCAAGGATGCGGGCATCTGCCAAAGCCCACTCCTCTGGGCTGGAGGTATTTGGGGAGCCACTCCTCCCTTGCCTGCTCTGCACGCTCATCTTGTCTCGTAGGCTTGTTCCTCTTTGGTGGTGTCCTCCAACCACATTTCTCAGGCTGTGCACCTTCCTTAGATAAGGTATTCAACTGCCCGAGGGTAAAGCTCTACTCATCTGTCAATGACTCTCAGCAGTTTGGACCTACACTCGCCAACACAGGCTGTCTACTCCATGGTTACTACACACTACCACCTGAAGTTTTAACAGTTCTCTAGCTGAACCTCCAAACGCTGAGTGAGATTCCCATACACAAAACTGGCCTCAGTCAGAGAACAGCACCACTTTCCCTCCAGCTGCAAGGTCTAGAAACTTAGCAGTCATCCTCAACACTCTCCTGTGTCACTGAATGTGTGTGTGTGTGTGTGTGTGTGTGTGTGTGTGTGTGTGTTTTAGACAGGATCTCACTGTGTAGTTCAGACTTCCCTTGAGTTCACTATGTAGCCCAGGTTGGCTTTGATTTCATGGTGATCTTCCTGAGTGCTGGATTACAGTTATGTGCCACCACACTAGCTGTGTCACTGGATGTGAACTATGACCCCCCCCCACATCACTTCAAACTCCAAGTATCTCCTCACCTGTCCACCCATCTCTGTTTCCACCTCTGTCTTCCTTCAATGGCCACAGCATCACCCTTCTTGTCTGCTAACCTCCAGAGGCCTCCTAGCTCATCTCTTCTTACCTATTCCCCCATACACCAGCACTATCATGTTCCTCCTACCATGGCCATGGCAATTTCAAGTTTCATAACGCAAATATGATTTTATTGAGCACCTATTGATGCATTTCAGCCAGGAAAAATGTCAACAACTTTCCTGCATCCCGTTAGTCTTTACAGAAGACTCATCCCTCTGTCACTAGTACATATATCCCACATGGTTACCTGTTTTCTGAGTCCTAGGTCTCCAGCCATCTCTCAGCTCCCTACTGATGTTTCTTTCAGCTTATTCTCATTATGTTCATCAATCCCCTGCTGCACTTAGTATTGTTCAGCAGCCCCTCACTTCCTGTGAAGACTTTTTCCAGCCTCAAGACTTCCTGCCCTCAACTGAAAGCTGTCACTCACATGGAGAACCATTCAGTAAGGTCCTATACCTGCCTAAGATTGTGTCTACTCCAGGTGGCTTAAGTCATATCTGTCTTGCTTCTAGTGGAATCCCTAAGAGTCAGGCTCTTGGAGGAAACCAAAGAAAAGTATGTACCAGAGCAGAACCAAGGTAGCTAAGCTATATTTCTCCAGAAAGAGAAATGTAAAAGAGGGACCACCGAGAAATGCTGCACAGGACAGTGACTTGCAGTGTCTGCATGGTCTCCCTGCTAAACTACTTAGGGTCATGCAGTAGGTAGGGTATAATAGGGTCTAGTACCTCTGAAAGCCAGGGTTCAGGTTCTGCCGCCTGAAGGGGCTGCACTAGGGTATGTGGGCGTCCCTACTGTACTGTGGCTTTGGGACCCATGGGCTGTGCTGCTCCCCTTAGGCTGTTCCCTGCCTCTGACTCTCAATGTGCTGAAATATGGCTGGGAGTTTCTCTCATGTGATTTTTGTTGGCATCTCTTCCTCTGGAAGGCCTTCATTCTTTTTATTGTGATCATGTTCCTCACTTACTCTTTTATTGATGGTACGAGCAGAGCATTAAGTAGTGCTGGGTGCCCTGGGGCAGGCTACCAAACCTCCCTTTGTCTCCATTTCTTTCATATGTAAAATGAACATAATCCATTTGGAGCCAACAGGCTTGTGGTAAGGATGAAAGACTTAGTATCAGTAATTTCCTGGAACAACGTCTGACAGATACCAAATGTTTTGTAGGTGTTAAAAATATTCTCATGCTGTTGGTGCTCTCATGTGGTGTCTTCACAGTACATTTTGAGGAAGATAATGAGCCAGGCTTCTTAGCCCTGTTACACATTTAGACATACACAGTCTGCTCTTTGCATGGTACTGTAACACTGTAAAATGGCCACACATGCTGCAACTGAGCAAAGCCATCTTAAAATCAAGAGAAAATTACAATCTTTCCAATACCTTTAATATTTTCTGTCAAAACATTAAGGACTCTTTAACAAACACTTTACAAACATATAGGAATCAAAATAGCAAAACAAATATTTTAGGACACAGTAGTTCACATTACAAGAAGTGAAGCCTTGGTTTTCTTTCTTTGTTAACTAAGAAGAGTAGTTAAATACTTCTTCCTTCTACCTTTTTATGCTGAAGAAGCATCTTTTTCTCTGCCTTGGGGAAAACTGCTATCAGCTCCCAAGATCTTAAACTTTGCATTTTTGATGTCCTAAAACATGGCTGGGAGTTCCTCTCTGTGAAGTTTTCTGCTGGCATCTCTTTCTCTAGGATGCCTTTACCATTTTTATTGTGGTCACTTTCCTCACTTTTGCTTTTAATGCTGGTCTCAAGTTTCATGCCTACACAAACCTGAGTGGTTCTGCCCATCAAAGTCAGATAGTTGTAATGATGTAAAATTACTCAGAATGATGTAAAATTTCCACTCAGGGACTTCACAACCTAAAACACCCTGTCCACCGTCGCTACTTATTAACAGAGGAATCAAACGGGAACAGATGCAATGCTAACCGTTCACTCTCACCAGCACAACAAAAATGCCCAATATATGCACACATTATTTTCAATGCCTGGCACTCAAGTGCTAATGGTTATTCACACGACAAATAACAAAATGAATTAACAAAATTCAGAAACAATGGAATTAATTCACCTATAATGTGAAGTTTCCATAGCTGCAAAAAATTGGTTTTGGACACTGAAAATCTCATATAAATGAGACGTAATTATACACTCCTTAGAAATTGTTGATAGTTATAGCCTTTCTCTCCTCTGCAAGTACACAAGCAGCTACAACATTTCATGCAACACTTCAGGGAACCAGCAGAACCTGATTTCCAATGAAAAGCCCTAGCTATGGAGATAGGATTTTTATTACTAGGTAAAACCCAGCACTACAGTCTGTTTCAGGGTCAGGGCAAGTTCCCCATAGTTGAGACCTCTCTAAGAAAAGGCAAAGCTAGGTGTCACTGAAATAGAGTTTCTTTACTGTACAAGTTTATTCAACCTAGGTTTCTTTCACTACCGTCCCTGAAACTTCCTTCTGATAGTATAAATTTATAAAACCTTGCTGAAAAGACAGACTCAACAGCACATTGTGGTGATGCACAGCAGAACCAGCAAATCAAGCTGATCAGTGACTGATCGTGGGATAAGGCAGCTGAGTGGCACCTTGATCCCGCTGCTGCTGACCTTCCTCTCTCGAGTTCCTGTTCTTTCTACCCTCCCTCCACTCATTTCCTTTCTATTTCCTCGCTCTACCTCTGATGTCAACCCTGTTGCTGAATCCAGCCCTTGGAGGGAGAGACTGCAGGCCCCTCCCTATAAAAACCCCCAGAGAAATAAATCCCATGTGTCTCTTTGAATTCCGCAGACAATTCAATGGCATGCTTAGAGAGCATCTGACAGTATCCATCAAGTGTGTAGGAACATACCAAGGGGAAATAATTTTGATCAAGGAAGGTGATTTGTAATTTGCTGATTTTGTTTTTTAATTGATTTGCCTTCAAGGAAAGATTGACCAAACAAAATCAGCTGATAAAGACACAAAATGATTTCTCCTCTGGTGTAAGCTTCGTTTTCTTTTATTTTGGTAAGAGATTCGGCTCTCAATTGCAAATGCACGTCACTCTACCCTCTCAAGGGCAAAATGATAAAGTTCTATCACACCACGTGTCTAAGAGAACCTGAGACTACCAAGGTCAGAAGTGCTGCACTTCAAGCCAAAAGATGTTTGGGGCTTGTTTGTTTTGACTTGTGACTACAAATTTGTTTTGCCTGATCATATTATAAAACAAAGTGCGATCTCTCCAGCAGCATCCTCAAAGGCAGTAGGAGCCACAGAGGAACCTGCTGAGGGTTTCTCTCACTTTTCTGCCTCTTGATTTCCACAGGACGTTAACTGCTGCCTCTGATGCCCAGCAGGGCAGCATGGTTTTGGAAATGCTGAACCCCATGCATTCTAATATCACCGGCATGGTGCCTGAAGTTGTGCCTGTTGCTGCCATGCCAATCCTGCTGCTTGTGGGCTTTCTCCTCTTGATTTGGAACTGTGAGAGCACAGCCTCAATTCCAGGTCAGTTGCTTATTTCTGGTTTTTAGGATGTTATTTAATTGGGCATTTGCTCCATGATGACAAAGAAAATCTGACAAAAGTCCAAAAGCAAACCTGTTAAGATCCCTGAAAATCACAGCCATGATAGCAAAATGGGACTTATGTAAAAACCTACTGCAACTATCCATACGTTTTAAATTAAGAATGTAAAAAACCCCTCCTGTCTACACAGCACTTTGCAAGATTTAGCAGTTTTAATTGGGGTGAAGCAAAGTAAATTCCAGGGATTTAAAAAATTTAAAGCGTTCAAAAAGGTGGGAATGTCTGTGGGAAATCTGTAGCCTGCTGTCCTCCTCATCCCTCGTGGGCGCATCCTACTCTTCCTTTGTTCTATTTAGTGCTTCTTTTCATCTCATTTTCCATCTTTCATAGCACCAGTATGGCAATGGTGGGATCCTACTGGGGTGAATGGGACCTGGGCAGTGGGAGAAGTGTTGGAGACCCCTCCCATTCCATTGGCAAGGCACACCCCAAAAGAATCTTCAACAAGGCCTGTGGGTCAACCAAAAGAGAGTAACATAATCACTCAGATTATTCTCTACCTTTCCATTGTTACAGCTGGAGTTATCACATATTAGATTGGTTCTAAATTATCAGATATTCCACACTGTTTCTTTAGTTTTCAGTGTCCATTCCTCATGGCAGACACCTGTTCCCAATTCTGTCTTTGTTACAAGAGTATTTCATTAGATATTTGTATGTGTGGTAACCCTCAGGATAAGGTGGTTGAGCCTGGGTTTAAAATGCTCTCTGTCTGGATTCTTCTGGAATGTGTCAAGAAAACTCTGTGTCCGTTGATTAAGCCTGGAACTGTAGGTTACCTCAATGACCAATAGTAAATGACCTCCCTGGGTTCATCTTTGGAGAAGAAAGCTCAGTACCAAGAAAAGTCAACTCTCTGTTCCAATGCTCATGCTCCTCAATCATGTTCTTCTCCCTGTAGTAGGCTCTCCAACCAGAGTCAATGAATGCGAGGGTAGAGACAGGTAGAGGAGGTGGTGGAATGTTTCTTGCTTCTCTTTCCTATCATAGGCTCAGGAACTAAAGTCCAATCTACCTATATTATCAGACCATGCCACAAGGAGATGAAAGTTACTACTGCCTGCCCAAGGAATAAGCCAGAGGTTCCCAAGTGGTAGTATAAGAATCAGCTTGCAGGTGGGGTTGGCTAGCCAGATTCCTGGCCTCTGCTACAGAATTCTAAGTCAGACTTTCCAGGACCAGGAACATCTACTAAAAACAAAAAAGTCACTGACCATCTCTAGATGCTTATGCTGCAAGCTCTAGTGGCAGTACTGTAGAGATCTGGGATTGGGAAGGGAGGCCACTCCTCCACTCTCTACCACTTCTGGGCAATGATGTTGTGCTGACACATATTGTCAGCTACATCATACAAGAAACACTACAGTGGTTCTCAACCAGGTCTAAGAATCTGTGGAGTTCTTAGAAGGCACCAGGTTGATATTTTAATGTTCCCCAATAGGTTTTCATAGAATCCAGGGTTGAGAGCCACAGAGGTGAGCCCAGAATCTTCATCTAACAGAAAGGGAAACACAGCCACAGAGGAGATCTGTTTGAAATGACCAGTAAAAGAAGTCAAGGAGTTCAGACTCCTGCTTTTACAAGTGAAGGATCAAAGTGCAAAGAAGGGAGGTGTCTTGTCAGCACACAAGCAAGGAGATGGGAGCACAGGACCACCAACTCACTCACACCAAGGCTGATGAGCATTTTGCTGGCCAAGGAGCTCCAAATTTTGAGCCTTTCACTTTGAAAATGTGGGGTCTGGCCAGAATGATCTCAGGCACAGACTGAGATCCTATGGCTTGGGGATGGAGTCGGAAGAAGAAAACTAGGTTGGTAGAGTAGTTCTTTCCATTCAGTTCTCCTGGACTCTCACCATGGCTCTTGAATCACTGCTCCTTGGGTTCTTGGTTTTACAGTCTATAGCTTAGGGCCATCAAAAGCCAAAAGGTACTTAGAAGGCACAACAGAGCCCAAAGCAATAGTGCAGAAGGCAGTTTCCTGCCTGTTTTCTCTGGTGAGGCTGGGATGTGGGTTTCTGTTTTCTAAACGAAGATCCTGAGACTCAAAAGAGGCAGGAACTGCATAGCTAAGAAGTGATGAAATGCGGACTGCTATGGAAGCTTAACTCTGTTAAAGGGTCTGATATGAGCGCATCTCATTGCTATAGGAAGGGGTGTTACAGGGGTGGGAGAAATGCCCCCATCCCATTCATCTCTGTCCAGCACAGCTCTCCCTTCCCTGAGGATGCACAACCATCCCAACCTTGAACTTGGGTCTTCTCCCTCTGCCGCACTTTTCCCTGGCAGCACATCCCCCAGGGGGGGCCTCAGGAGAAGAACATGCCAACATGTTCCTCTTTTCATCTAAGGAAGCATTTCACAGCAAACTGCACAGTATGATGGTAGGTTTGCCACCATGATCCCGACCAAGAAACAGGATGTAAATAGCATCCCAAGAGATCCTCTTGTGCTGTTATGCTGCTCTCTTCTTCACTCTGGATGGAAATAACTTCCTAGGTTTGTGACAGTCATTTTCTTCTTTTTTATAGGCTGTCCATCTAATCTCACATCCCCAGACAAAATAGCTTAATACCTAGTGTAAAAGATTTTAGCAATCAAATCATATATTGCCGATTCTCTCGTCTCTCTTCCTCAGTGTTGAGTTTGTCAGATTCATCCACATTGTGACTGTGGCGTGCTGCTGGAGCTCCTTTTCATTGTCATGCAGTCTTGAGTCACATGAGTATCTCTATAGTTCTAAGTTGAGGGGCATCTAGGATGTGTCCAGTCTATGTCCAGGCTATTTTGGACAGTGCTGCTGTGAACATGTATGAACTCAGGTTTCTGAGGGGTGTACAGAGAGATATAGAATGAAACAGCCTCTTGATTACGACTATAGGTGGGAGATCCCAGCAGTTGGCTTTGAGGAGGCTATCTCTGCACAAAAATGCAGTGAGATACTTACCTCTTGGGTGTGAAAGAGGCTACTATAATTGCTACATGCCTAGACAAACATTCCCAAATCTGGCAAGGCAGAGAGCAGTTTAATGTGGATGCAATGAAAATTATTTCTCTAATAGTCATCTCAAGTCCCTAAGTTGGAGTTAGTGTCTATATCTAATAAGGTCTCAAATAAAGTTGCTCATTAAGGACCCAAAACTCTGGATTGCTTCTGGTTAGAATATCCATGCTCTCAACCCAAGCCCAGGATTTATTGTCATAATTATTTTTAAAGGTTCTAATTTTTATAATTTGTATGCTTGCTAAGCCTTTTTTTTTTAAAGAAACAGATGTCACTAGTTTACCCAGACTAGTCTCAACATGCAGGACTCAAGCCCTATTCCTGTCCAGCCTCCCAAGTAGCTACACCTCAGAAGGGGAGATGTACCATCACACTTAGCACAATGTCTGCCTTAAATTTGCATGTTGCTTCTAAAAGATTAATAATTTCTACATGATATCAACCATTTAGACAAATGATGAAAAATGCAACCTTTCATTTTGATGGTTTTCTTTCTCATAGAAATTGCATATGAAGTCATTAAATGCTAAATAAGTCTACTGTCAAGTAGGCATAGGACCTCATGTAACTAAATGTATACATGATGTTTTTGAATGTTCTTTCAAAATACCAGTATGACCTAAAGTAAAGAAGAACAATATCTAAAACTTCATTTTTATTATATGATCATACAAATTAGTTTTTAAAATTCATTAAAGAAACATTTATTAACATCTACACTATGCCAAATAAATTCCAATGAAGTATTTTGCTCTTACCCATATTTTAATTGATTATAATTGGTTATGCCTTATGACATTTTAAGGAAACACATATTCATGAAGCTATTTCAACATAAAGCTTATCATCTGTATAATATAGTATCATTAAATTAATCTTAAGATTAATAACCCTTTGACAGTAGCTTTGTTCTAGAGAGAGTAACAGATATCTTCTCTTCTAAGGAAGGAAAAAGAGCTGACAGTCTTGATCATTGATCATGACAGATGCAGGAGTAAACTTACAGTTTGGAGGACTGCAGTAAAAAGTCTTCTAGACAGTTGTTTCATTAGACAGTGCTGTCTCACAAAATCGGGCAAGATTTTCAAAAACTTTCTAACAATTTCACTAACAGACAGAATGGAATTAAAGAGTTAGAAAACTACTACTCTATAACAGTTCCACAATGTAGCTTTTTATTACCACCAGTAACATCAAACTACCAAGTTTCTTTAGTGAAAGAAACAACTTCAAACTTCCCAGCTGCTTCTTGGATTTATATTCTTTACAAGTCTGCCACTGTCTGCAGAAGCAGGGAGGTGACTAGCACTGCTCTTGGCTAAAACTAGCTCAAGGGACTCAAACTGTCTAGACCCTGAGGAGGCTCACTACCTAATTCCTCAATTCTTAGCTTTTTTTTTTCCCATGTGAGTTTGACCTTAAGTTTCTTTTCTTAATCTGAGTTCTAAGACAGAGAGAGACAGACAGACAGAAAGAGTTGAGAGAGTAAAGAGAAACAGACAGATGAGAGAGACAGAGAGACAGAGAGACTGAGTCAGAGACAGAGAGACACAGAGAGTTGTTCTCAGGTTGGACATCATCTTTGGGGACTTGTTACTCCCAGCTAAAAGGGTAACACCAAAAGGATGCAAACGAAACCAAGCAGCCAATCAGCTCCGTCAGTTTGTCACTTGTCACACTTTTCACACTTGTCACCAGACAGACCTGAGGACTTGTATTTGAAATTCACAGACACCATTTAACTTGGGAAGAAATGAGCACACATTCCCCAGTTCACCAAGCCTGAAATGACGGAGAAAAAAGGAGCTAGTGTGATGTGGACAGTGAATGCTTTTCATTGTGGACAGGTGAAGAGTCTCAGGTCAAGCTTGGTTGGTTCTTCTGGTTTAACTCACTTTGTTACCATTCACAGATAAGCAGCAGAAGATGTGAAGAACATTTAGATAAAGAGAACAAGTACTTTTGGTGTAGCAGAGATGCTGACATTGTTCCGATGGCTTTCCTAGGTCCTGGCTACTGTCTGGGAATTGGGCCTCTCATTTCCCACAGCAGATTTCTGTGGATGGGGATTGGCAGTGCCTGCAACTACTACAACAAGACCTATGGAGAGTTCATGAGAGTCTGGATAAATGGAGAAGAAACACTTATTATCAGCAAGTAAGTATGCTAGTAATCAGAGAAACTGGGGCTGGGATATCACTCATTGCTGGCTTTGGATTTCACTCAAGGCTTTGGATCATAAGCAAAAACACAACAGTATATGCAGACACAAACTTTTAAAAGTAAGACTAGGAGTTTTCCCATTTTAAAAAAGATTTTATTTTGATTTCTTGACATCTTTTAAGTCTAGTTTTTCACATTTAAATAAAAGTGAGCAAGTTCCAGCTAAAAATTTAACACTACAGATATGTGAAATAACTGATTTTCTCTTGATATGAAGCCAACCTACAAAGATAAAGAGCTCTGCAAAACTGGGAAATAATTAAAACATCTGTTAATGTACATATACTTGTAGGAAAGGCATTATCTTATCTGAGAGTTGGATCTTAACTCTATAAATTAGCTTAAACTAACCCTACAAAAAACAAAACTGGACAGATAGGTATATGACTACTAATTTGCTAGGGTGTTCTAATTCCAGGCTACTGAGTACTTTTGAGACAGCAGATAGTACAAAAAGAAGCTATTTGGAATCAACAGTAGTTAAGGTTTTGAAGTTCTGTATAACTTACACTAGTATATTTTGATTGGTTTTATTCTTTTCCTTGGTTTTATCCTCTTTAGAAATTTTTAAAAATCAGCCATTTGGGAGCTACTCACCTATCTAGCACTGCCTGAATGTACCAGAAATATTGCTACCTATTAAAAAATGAGGTTCACTGTTCTGCATCATTATTTTCTGGATTACTGCATCAGACTGAATTCACAGTAGGGTTACCCAAAAATGGATTGAATGAGAAGAAAAGTTATAAAATACTCACTTTCCTCTTTATTAAACTTAAAAAGAGAATCTTTAAAAAGGCATATTTCACTAGACTTTCAGTTAATACTTCCAAGGGTCTTAGCAAAGCTATCTGCCAACACTGTCTCATTAGTAACTTTTATAACTACAATTCCTGCTAGAGCTTTATTCACAAACTAATCAAACAAAAGTGTGTTAGTGACTTGGTCAGAGTTAAGTCAAGCACTTCCAAAAAATGAATTTTCTCAGGCCAACATTACACACATCATTTCTTCAAGCACCATAGTGTGCGCCAAGCAAATGCTAAAAGAAGGGAGCAGGGGAGGGAAATGTGTTATACTTCCAAATATTTCAGGCTACCCTACAGTGTTGTTTGAATTGATCCAGTTGCTCAATTTTTGCCTCGTACTGTCCTGTTGGATTAAGTTTGCTGTTGTTGCACTTGGAAGAACGGCTGATGAAGACCACATTTATATAACGGCACATAAATGGCTGCTGGTGGAAATGTTGTTTCCCCAGGTTCATCGTGCTTCTCAGAGTCCTCCACTGTCCAGCAGCAGCAATAAACTCAAGAACATGTTACAAATACACACTCTGGGGACCTCCCACCTAAATAAGAAAGCCTGGGGGAAGGACCTCCTGAACTGCCCCTGCAGCTGTGTGTTCACAAACTCTCCAGGTGATTCTGATGCACACTGGAGATGCGACCATGCGCTAATCACTAGATCACAATTACTCCTTGGTTTACTTGTCCTGGTATATTGAGGCCTGGCAAGCCACACTGAAGTGAACTGGGTGAAATGAGTTCTCATTTCAAAAATCAATAAATTGGTCACCTTTACAACTGGCTAGAGCACCCAAATTTATCCTACAATAGAGGAAATCTGGATTTAGAGGACTGAGACCTTGGTTCCTGATTCGTCATCCCCCAAGACAGCAAGCAGCCTTCCAGGCCTCTCAATTCAGCATCTCCCTTCCCTGTCACTCATTCCCCTGGGCAAACAGTTGTGTGGTTCTCAGGATTTTTGTCCAAAAGATCTACCTGCAGCTCAGGTCCAGAGCAGGGGAGCTCACCTTTGATGCCCATTAGAGTCCCTGAGAAGCTTCCCAAAACCCCATTGCCAAGACTTTCAGGTCTGATTCTCTAAAAGTATGGCCCACACTTCACTGGTGCTTTAGTTCCCCAGGAGATTCCAGTGGGCTGCAGAGCTTGGAAACCTCCCAACTAGACAGAAGGAGCAAGAAGAAGGTTTTGGAACAAGCACCCTTTCCTATGGGCTTTGGGAAACATGTAAGCAGAAAGGAGTGGTTCTGTCTCAGTGCACTTTTCCTCTGTCTGCTAAAGTGGTAGTGGTGAAGACTAGATTTGGAGTGAAGAGTGATGGGTTTGAGAACTGAGCACCAGGCAGCAATCCTTCTTGTATAGTAGATCCTTTGACCATCAGCCCAAAAATTCCCTGATGCCAAAGACCCTCCCTGAAGCAGGACACTTGTGGATGCCAGGCTAGCATCTGACTCCTCTGCCCATCTTAGTGAGGAAGGCAATGTGGGCTCAAGTATGGATGCACACAGAGGCGTGAACACAGAGGCACGCACACACCTGTTGCTGGGCCCCAGCTCTCCCAGTTCTTTTTCCTCCTGTTCTCCTGTGTGCTCAGGCTTTTCACTGCTGGAGTCTTTGTGTTCTTCTTAATTGCCTCAGAGCAGCTCAATCTTGTTGTTCAGTGCTAAGCTCCCCCAGCAGTGGGACATGTTGGTTCCATCTCCTCTCCTTGCCTGCTCTCCAAGCTGCTTACAGAACTGCTCGTACCTCTTGAAAAAAGACCCCATTGACCCTCAGAAAGCTTTTGAATTTCATTTTAATAGTTTTCCAGATTTCTTTTTCTTTTGAAAAGTTTGAAGTTTCTACTTAGTACAACTGTGCAGAGACTACAGTCCAACTTTCCCAACCAGCTTTTTCCTACTGGGGGGAGCTACAGAACTTCAGGCTGAAAGTCAGGCATGAACCCTGCCTCTACACAGCTTGAACATCATGGAGGCTTGGAGTCAGGCCCCTCTGGTCAGCTGCAGATGAAGTAGGCACAGTTGCTCAGGCAGCTACCTCTGAAGCTGCCTCTGAAGGAAAGTTTACTGAGGGTGGCATGACACTATAGGGCTATGCACTTATTTTTTTGTCAAAAATAAACTGAGTAAAAGCTATTTAGAGAAATTAACAATGCACACAAGAGCCAAGGTTATATTTTCACATCTGTCTTAATCATATGTAAATTTACAAGGGATTTTTTCAATTTTCTGTCACCATATATTTATTACACACTGAATAAGTGCTTTGTGGTCCTAAGTCTTAACAGTCAACAGTGATTCTACACTTGTAGGTAAACACTTATTGAGACCATATTTGTATACTAGGGACAGTTCTAGACTGGGAATACAGCAGTATGTTACTTTTGGAATACAATTAGCAAAGCATTTCTACCTTCATACTGTAGTATATTTTACTATACCAATGATAAACAAAATATATAATTCAGTCATGAGTCACATGACACTAGGGTATGTTCTGAGAAAGGTATCATAATGTAAACAGTAAAAAAGCAGGGAAGCGCTGGGCAGAGGACCACTTCTATGGATGGCAGTGGGCCTCTAAAGAGGTAGTCTGAGGTAAGCCTCACTAAGAAGACAGCATCTGAATAAAGGCCTTAAGATGTGAGCCATGCAGGACTTCATAAAAGCATTCTAGAGAGAGGAAAAGGCAAGTGCAAAGACCCTCAGGTGGGAACCTGCTGGAAATGTTCAAGGAACTTCTACCAGAGTAGGTGAGTGGAAGCACAATGAAAGACAACTGCGCAGATAGTAAACTCGACCATGGTAGGCCCTGCATTTGTGGGGCAACTCCGCCTTTACCCTGCACGACACAGAAGACACTGGGAACTCAAGCAGAGGACAGTCATGTTTGGCCCACTCATGTTTTAGCAGATTCATAAGAGCTACCCTGTTGAGAGTCAGTGGTAAGGGATCAAAGATGTGGGCAAGTGCTAAATGCACCATTTAGGAAGAGATGATGGTGTCTGGGCCAGACAAAAGCAATAGAGAATTAAGATGAGAGGATATTCTGGTCACATGTTAAAGGCAGAGACAACAGGACCCAACAGTATGCAGGTTGGACATGAGAGAAGAGTCCTGCCCTATTTTTGCCTTAAAAGTCTGGAAGGAAGAGGACACTATTAGCTGAGCTGGAAGGAGCAAATGTGGAATGCAGAGATATCACAATTAAGATCATCACTTTGGTATTGCCATGCCCAAGGGACATCTCAGTTGGAGGGACTGAGCCTGAGTCCCTTTAGGGTGAAGAGATGAAACTACAGACAGAGACTGAGTAGACACAGGGAGACTGGGCAGGGGGCAGGAAGGAGTAGAACTCTGATCACCAGCACAGGAATGCATTTCAGGGAGAAGGAAATTGTCAGCTGCTACAGACCAGCTGAAAGGATGGAGATTTGAGTGTCACTTTTGGAGATGGCATGGGTGATCCTGAAAGAACAGCATCAATGGAGTTAGGGGGAAGGTTTGACCAAAGAAGGGAATGGGGGAGGGGAAATGAAGCAGAGGCAGCAAGTATAGACCGCTCTTCCAGGAGTCTGCTGTAAAGGAGGAAGGAGGTAGGACACTGCAGGGGCTTTGCAGTCAAAGGAGTGCTCATTCTCATGACAGAGAAACCATGCATGTGAGCTGTGGTGGCACAGCTACAGAGGAAAACTGAAGATGGAAGAAGTCTGAGCGAGGGGAGATGTGAAGGGGTCAAGGAACAAGTGGAGGAAGTGGCCCTGAATCATCCCACCAGGAAAGAAGGCTGAGTACGTGTCATAGATCCTGGTGGCTAGAGCCCTACCCAGGTTTTCTTCTAGCTGCTTCTATGTTCTCTGGAAAATCAGAGATAAAATCTTCAGCTGAGACTTGAGCACAGAGAGTGATGCAGGAGGGAGACAGCACCAGCTATATGGAGGGTCTACCTGAATTTAACTGAGACCTGTGAGAATGGGTGAAAATGTGTATGACTGCTGGGTGTGTGTACTCCACTTGGCGCCAGCGGAGTAAGCTAAATGTTGGATTTAGCCAGATTTTCTCGCTGGGTGGTACTGGTTATGGCCAGAGCTTCCTGTTGTAAAGACTGTTTTTCTCTGACAGTGACCCATGACTATTCTGTGGCTTTTCCATACTAATGGAAGCATCTAGGTTTTCTCTTTCAATGTTTATTGCTAGAAAGAGGAAAACTGGTCCAAAACTAAAGTTCTCTTGATGAAAATTATCTGTAGTCAAATAAAAAGAACATTTGGCTTAATAATAGCTTCATTAAAAATAAGTTTTTCTGTGAAATAAATATCAAGTAAATTAATTGTTTATATAACAATTATAATTTTATTTCCATTTGCAGCACTGCTATTTTTTCAGGAGCATTCTTTTAAACTTTAAATAAGATGATGAAACTCAACACAAATGAGTTTCACTAATATGAAGCCCACAGCCTAGCCCATCCAGCCAAAGCAGTGCAGTTTGACCCAGCATTACCTATGGGAATGTATTTTGGCAAGCATTACTAGAACAATCTTGCTGAGGCAAAGTTATCCTCTTGTAGTACTTTTTTGTGTTTTCAAAACTTCTAAATTTTTCTTAGTATCTGTCTACAGTACATAATGATTACATTTATCCTGGGGAGTCTTTTTGTGTATATAGCACATCCTAAGTTCCATTTTTCATCCTCTTTCTCTACTCTCCCTCCCTCCTCTCTCCATCTCATGGTCTCCTTCCCATTTGCAAAAGATCTATCTCTCAGTTTCCTGTCTAAACTCATCCTTTTTAGGAGCCAAGTTTCAAAAGTGAAAGGAAGGAGTGAGGGTTAAGACAGCTTCACCAATAGTCTGACAATCAAGTGTACGTACCATGGTAGCCACTGCCATGATTTGAGGGGTGTGTGCTCTAAACATGTTCATAGTAGGAAAATTTGCTGTTGAGAAATAAAATTTAAATGGAAAAGAGGGAAAAGAGAAGAATGTAGCGGTGACTACATCAAAACATGCCTAAACATAAAGTTCACCAAATTAAAAAGTAACAACATGTGAAAAAGATAACACCCATGCTATGTAATGCAGTCTGAATTTGCACTGTTGCACATACAAATTGCATTCTCTAATGACTTGCCACATCCTGTAGCATAGGACAACTTGTAAGCCTGGAGACCTTGATAAGTCATGATGGAATACAGTACAAAGCCCAAAGATAAGTTCTCCTACCAACACAATGAGCCTCTGGGCCAGTGCAGCCAGGTGCTGGAAAGCCCAGGGCTAGAAGGGAAACTCATTGAGAGACCCCTGGACTGACTTTTAGAGAGTAGGAGCTTCTAGATGGAATTGCTTCAACAATCTGACAAAGCAAGACTTTGCAGATCTCTGTGGTTCCCTCTTGCAGGGGGTGGAACTATTGGGAAGGAAGGGCTGGATGGTCCCTGAGGGGCTGCAGGCTCAGCTTAACTCTGCTGTTCCACTGGATTCAGTTTCACAACAGACTCATAGCTCTGATCCTGTGGTGGGTTGTCCGTGAGTAACTTGGGATTAGCAAAGAGAGGGCAATAAGAAATGAGGTGAGCAGGTTTTCTATCTTTTGTGATGAGAAGATTATCAGAGCCTTCTTTCTTTTCAGGTCCTCAAGTATGTTCCACGTAATGAAGCACAGTCACTATAACTCTCGATTTGGCAGCAAGCCAGGGCTACAATGCATCGGGATGCACGAGAACGGCATCATATTTAACAATAACCCAGACATCTGGAAAGCAGTTCGACCATTTTTTATGAAAGGTAAGCAAAGCCCTGGCTATATTCTTCCCTCCACTTTACAAATACACCTTAAAAAGTCATATTTAAAACTTTGTAGCTTTACTGATTTGAGCTGCTATGATGAGAAGGACTTCCGTTACACTTTTACCATACGTCAGACACTGTTCTAAGTACTGGAAGTTTTAACCCCACAGCAGCCACCTGGGCTACTCTGATCACCTGCATTGTGCAGACAAGAAAACACAGGCATAGAGAGGTTCTGGAACTTGTGCTATGTCCCACCGTTACTAAATGGAGGCCCTTGGGTACAAGCTACGCCTACATTTATGGCCCCAGCACTGAAGTGCATAGCCACTTCATGAGAAAAGGAAGAAACAGATCTGTACATTTAGGGTCTTTGCAACTAAGAATTTAGTATGTCACCATACTAATCAATGTGTTCCTGAATTACTGTCAACCCAGACATTTGGGGAGAAATTAACTTGTGAAGGAAATTAATGAAGTTTAACACATGGAAAGGGACTGTATGTGTTGCCCACCTAGCCTCTAAGTTTTATACTTGAGGAAATGGTCCTCCGGAGGCTGTGGTTTTCACTCAGACAGCACAGCAAGTAACACATGAGCAGAAACCAAGCCTCCTTACCTAGTGATTTTCCACCTTTATTACTTCCCAGTGGAAATGAGGATGATGGCAGCAAACAGTCCACTTTTGACGTGAAAGTAGAGTGTCAAGAAAGATAATCATGGCCTAGAGGGGTTGTCAGTGGTGGAGTCTGGAGCCAACTAGATTTTAGGCGGACCCTGTCTCATCAATATTTGTCCCTGCAGGAGCCTCCACAGTGAGCCCACATACCTCCTGCATGGCTGCTCACACAGGGAGAAGCCATGCCTCTGTGTGTGCCTCTGTGGGGATCCCACCCCACAGAAGTGCCTGGTGCCATGACTTGGCTCCGTTTTCTGTTACAGACCCCATTTACTGCCTCACACCTCTGCAGGTCAGAAGTCTGCTGTGGGTCTGACAGGTCACTGTGGGCCGGACAGTCTGCTTTTGGAGGCTTTGGTGGAAGTTTTCTCCTTGCTGTTCCCAGCTTCCACAAGCCACTTCCATTCTGTCTGTGGCATGGTCCAGGCCTGCCTGTGTCACAGCTCTCTGGCCCTCCCACAGTTATGTCATCACATCTCTCTGGCCTTGACCTCAGAGAGGAATGTTTCCCTGTGTGTAAGGACTCACAGGATTACTTCGGGACCACCCTGAGAAGCCACACTAATCTCATTATCTCAAGGTCCTTCAACTTACTCATCTCTGCCAAGTCCTTGTCTCCATATAACATATGAATAGCTCCTGGGAATTAGGACCCAGACAACTCTGGAGACCAATTTGTCTGCCTACTACTCATGTTGGGGCAGATCAATCTCCCTACTCCTTTCAAAACTGCAGAATGGATTAATGGAAAAGTATGGGAATCAGGCTTCTAGATTGTGGTTTAAATCCCAATACCGCCACTAATTACCCATGTGACTTAGGGCCACTCACTTAACCTCTCTGCACTTCAGTTATCTCTATCGGAGTTGATAAATATCACAGAACTTGTGCTCTCCTGTTAGGCAAACACAAATGATATAATGCTGTAAGATCCCACAGAATGTAAACTTTACTTTGTCATTTGACCCAGGTTTATTTGGAATATGTGAATGAGTAGGTAGGTATAGTTAACACTCACATCCCCACAAATCCTCTAACCAGCGATGCAATAGTTGGTAAAATCTCTAAATGCTTCCCTTTGTTTAATAAGCTACTGTTGTCATCAAGCAACTAGGTGCCAAGAATACACTGACAAAGAAGACACGGTCCCTGCCTCGAGGACAAGTAAAGGACCAGTGTGGACTGGGAGGGCTTAGACCAATACATCACCAAATGCTGGCCTAGACACTGTAATGCTACAGTTGTGCATAGAGCTGCAGGCCAAGACAAATGGGCCATTTAAAGCCACTGAGACATCAGGGAGACTTTTCAGATGAGTGGAAGCTTATGATGAATTCTAAAGAAAATGTAATTTAAAAAGCATGACAAAGGAAGACATGCTAGAAGTATAGAATAGATTCTTCAAAAGCAGAGGAGAGATCGACAAGACTGGCCCAGGAACCTGTATCAGCACACAAGGAAGGAGCCAAGGGGAGGCAGAGCCTCGTGACCAAAGACTCAGTTAAAGCTGAGGAGTTGAGCTTATCCAAGAGCTATGAGGACTTGCTCAACATTTTCAGCAGAGTGACATAAATTCAGTGTTTCAGAAAAATCTCCCTCTTATCTGAGTGCATGGCAGAATGCATGAGGGTAGCTGAGGGCCTGGCTGTTTGAAGGGAACCATGACTGTCAGTGGTGAGGACAGTCATGGGCTGTTGCAATGATTCAAGGAGGGAAGAAGGCCACAGATGTAAGAAACGTTAGAACAGCAGGTCGACAGTACTTAGAAATTAATCAAATATCTTTGTGAATTATTTTAGATTAGCCCTATGTATGCTATATCACATTTCCTAATAAAAGTGTTACAGAACAGACACAAATTAAATGCCATACAACAGAAGAATGAGAGTAGCTTATTGAATGTTCACTTGGTACCTGATCGGTTTATAATCAATGAGAATTCTAAACATTTCTAGATGAATCTCCTTGTGAATTAGATTTCTTGGTTTTCCTGATATAATAGAAATAGTGGGAAAGGTTTTGGCTTTTTCAATCCAGAAAATTAGGGAAGTACTAATTCATGGGAGTGTGTGCGGAGAAACAGGTTAGTGCAACTTAGAAAAGAGTTCATCTTTAGAGATGGGGGCCAGTGGCAGGAGTTTGTCTCCTGACAATCTGAAGACACTTGTCTCCATTGGAAGAACATGAGACATTATTCCTAATGGAAGCTTGAAGAAATTTAGAGCAAAAACAGAAATGAGGACTACAGGAATTAAACTCTCATGACAGAGCACAGAACTCACTTGCCACTGTCCTGGTGGTCCAGAATAGAAAAATTGGAAGGTTGGACCCATGCACTAATCTACCTGTTTTACATTCATTCCTCTACTTTGCAAGTATGTATTACTTGATTTGACATTCAATGCTAACAAGTAGTTTTCACGGATCGTAAAGGGCATCCAGTTCAGCAGGGGAAAACTGCAGCACCAACAAGGAGTTGCTTAGCTTGCCACTGGTTGATTAAAAGAAATTTAGAAGTTGAAGAGAAATTAAAATTAAAAGAACATTTTCGGTCCTGTGTAAGGCCACTATTTCATACCTTCAATAGATGAAGGGAAGTACTTTACTTCAAGTAAAAAGAACCAATTTCAATAGTTTTGTGGTAATGTACTGCCACCTGTGGAAACAAAATGAATATGACTCTAGCCAAATCCAAATTGTTCTTAAGGGAATTATATACAATAAATGTCAAAAAATCATTGATTTCTCACTATGATCAAAAGTATTAAATATTTCATATGCAATCTCATAAATGATTTGCCAGCCCGTGAAGAAAACCTTGAATTTGAAATAGTGCCTGAAAAATAATATTCATTCATACATTTATTCATTCACATATTTTTAACCATAAAGGTATATACACATTTGTAAAAAATTTGGAAAATACATGAAAGGATAGAGTATGAAAAACTCCACTCAATTCTTTAATGTAAAATTGTGATCAATTAAACTCCAAACAAAAGGAGCCAAACTGTCTGATTGTGCATGCCTTAGAGTTGCTTGAGGCTGATTGTCATGTGTGTCCTGCAGCTCTAACAGGCCCTGGCCTTGTTCGCATGGTGGCTGTCTGTGCTCAGTCCATCGTAAGGCATCTGGACAGGTTGGAGGAGGTCACCAATCCATCAGGAAATGTGGACGTGCTGACCCTTATGCGACGAATCATGCTGGACACCTCTAACGTGCTCTTCCTAGGCATCCCCTTGGACGGTACTGACATTTTTATTCTTATGACCTGACATCCTGCCCTTCACTAGACAAGGCAGTGAGCACAACAGCCGGCTAAAGGAAACACACTGTTTGGTTCACTGCTCGTGATTTAACATTTGTAATTATCCTGAGGGTGTTTGCCCTAGTGTTTTGCCTTGTTCTTTTATAAACTCCTATACATTTCCACTAAGCAGGGCTCTATTTCTTTTTGCATCTCTCCTCATTATTCTAGAAAACTGGCTTCTATCACAGCCAAATCTTATTGGTGAGCTGATCATAAAGACAGTTTACCACAATAATCCTGCCACATATACCCAGCTACATTCGACCTGTGGCCCACCAATTTTTGTCCTATTTTTCTTTGAGTAAACAGGAGTTGTCATGGCTACATATAAAATAAATAATATAGTTAATATAAGTCACTCATTTCCTTTAAAATGCATTTTAACACTTTTAAAAAGAGAGCAGAAAAAAAGACATGGATTCCAACTATTCCTTTGGGCATGATAGACATATTCCTACATATATATTTCTACATCCACACACATCCTTCTCAAAAGCTACTATATATGAAAACTTCATTTTATCTGTATGTTAAAAATGCCAGTGGTGGTCATACTGCTACTAGAAATGATGATGATAGATGCTACTAATTCAGTATCCACTGTATAAACAGTTTGAAAAGTTGCCTTGTGCATGCTTGTTGTTTAATATTTGTAACAGTGAGGACAAGATGTTTTACTTTCCTCTTGAATAAATCAATATTAAAGCATGTACATGCAATTCTATGACCACCAAAAAGTGAATCATCATTTAGATGAATTCCAGTCTGCTTTTGACATCAAATGTGTCCATCGTAATGTGATTATTTCTGAATTAATTGATGGCCATGTTCACTGATTGGTATATTTATTCAGCCTTTGCTTACTGATTGTCTACCTCATGCAAGGACTGTTGTAAGTTCTAGAGATAGAGCGATAAAGACAACTAACATTTTTACTTGCAAGGCGCTTAGTCTAGTAGGGATATGGACAACAAAACAAGTAAATGTTAAAAAAAAAAATACTAGGCAACACTAAGTGCCTTGAAGTAAACACAAAACAGGACAAGAAGACAGAAATCAAAGGGGAAATAACAGGACTGGGTGTCTCACACAGCCTGGGCAGTCAAGAGCTCTGTAGAGAGGACATTTCCACAAGACCGGTATGAGCCACGTGCAGACCCAAATGGAGAATATTCCAGGCAGAAGAACAATGCACAGATTTCACCACTCATCAAGCCTGCTGAGGCCTAACACACTGCCTGATTCACATTAGGTAAAGAGACACACTACGTGCCCCTCCTTTCTCCTGGCTGCTGCACAGTCTCGTCCCCAGGACACCGACCAGTCCTTACAGGGGCTGTACACAAACTGCTCCTCCCTGCCATTCTGATAGGAGCCTCCATTCATTCTGAGAATTTTCAGCTATACCCTTTCCTCTGATCTTCTTCTAACCTTTTCTACATACACCTCTGCTCAAGCAGGCAGAAACATGACTATGTGGCCTCACTGCTTGGTTCCCCACCGCCTCTATCATTAGGAAGGATCATGCAAAATAATTGAAACTCTGTTTTTCAATGGGTTTAGACTCTTACCCAGAGAATCTGTTATAACCCAAATAGGGCTGTGCTTATTTTCCTTAATGCTGAGTACTTGTTAAACACTTAACTTGCTGATGGAACTCAGTACAACAAAGAAGAAGGACAATTCCCTGAAATCAGACAGAACCTGGTCCGGGGCTAAGAGCCTGCCTGACACACTGGCTGTACAGTTTCTAAACCCCAATGAATTGCAGTTCCTTCATCCACAATATGATAAAAAAAAAAAACCCTGTCTTATAACAGGTAAGATTATAAAGACTAAATTTAAAATCTCTTTTGTAAAGCACCCAGCACAGTGGCAGTTCAAAACAAAATATTGCTTCCTTTCCATTTGTATACAATGTGATGTGATTTGAAAAAAGCAAATGTTTTCTGTTCTCTGATACTCAATTTAATTTAAGAGCAGTCCCTTATTACTGAATATGCATGAGCTCAGGAAAAGGCATTGAAGAAATAAAGATGAAATCTATAATCTAGACTAATATAAACACCCATAGAAACTATGTAATAAGGTAAGGGCCACAAGAAAATGCATAAAAGACCACGAAGTGATAATATAACTAGGATCTATCAGTCAGGTGTATAGTCCCAGGGAACTGCCCACTTAACATTGGCTCTGCTCATCCCACATCAAATGCAATGACTGTTTTCTGCTTAACAAGCTCAATCAGCTTTTGCTCCCCTAAGTTGTAGTTAGGCCATAGCAGATTTAGTCACTAGTCCTATTTGTCCCTAAACACAGGAGAGAGCTAGAGACTCAAAGGAAATATGAAAGATTTGGGGTCTCTGAAACAAATTTGAAAATTTATGGCCACTTGCTGGTAAACTTGGCCAATCTGTATATAAAGGAATAAGTTGGTGTTCAAATTGCCTAGTGGCATTCAAATGGATAAATCACCAGAGGTGATGGAACTGTGTGTGCTCAGCTTAGAAGCCCACACTGGCAGGGAGCCTACGGGTTTGTTCACAGCTCACAGAACTCTTCTCAAGCTCACCTTTTGTTTAGCAGCTCTGTTTTTGTTTTTGTTTTCTAGAAACTGCCATTGTGAGGAAAATCCAGGGTTATTTTGATGCATGGCAAGCTCTGATTATTAAACCGAACATCTTCTTTAAGATTTCTTGGCTCTACAAAAAGTATGAAAAGCCTGTGTAAGTAGCACACATCTGGACAGCTTATGAGTGCAAGCTGACTGGGTTTTGTGTATGGCTTTGCTGTTGTTGGCCTCCGGAAAGATTTATGCTCTCCAGAGGCCACAGGGTTCAAATGATTAAGTTGCTGATGGAACACTTAGAGCAATTTGGTGCTTTCAAGCAGATAGCTTTACCACAAGGAGCCTAGAGTGTGGTCTGGAGCTCATTCCTGGAATGAGGTCACTGCTATTTTAATTCGAAGAGAAGGACTGCTTAAATCCATCATTAATGCTTATCAAAACCCTACTCAGAGAGCTGGAAGAAGATAATCAATTTGTAATTGTATTGCTTTTGAATTAATGTAACAAATTTGAACGATCAACAGAAGTCCCAAACAAATTTTTGATAATGAATATAATGAATTTCAAGAAAATGTGTGGGTTTTTTGGACCTGTATCTTGTTTTGGGAGTCCTGAAACTTGTCAAATGGCTTAATTTGGTGCGTGGACTAACCCAGTATAAAATTGGACAAATCCATAGCCTACAGAAGAACCTGAGGGTTTTTCTGAGTGTAGGTAGCCAGTAATTAAATACTGCCTCCTCTACCCACCAATAGAAAGCTCCTAGGATCCAGCAGCAGAACACTGTGGCTTGTTTCTTATCACCACCGCTGAGAAATAACTGGCTTTAGGAGGTCATTTTAAGTAAGATGTAACCTACCTTCTAGAGTGGAGGAATAAGTTAAGGAGATCATATGTGTAGATAAAGTAGCCCAGAGCACAGCCACTAAATATGGTAGTTTTCCTCTGTGTCTGTGTTTTTATCTTCCCTTGTTTCCCAACTATCTTAAGTTCTCTATCTCTAAAAGGTCACAAAGTTACTTGAAAACCCCACTTTATCCTTTTTTGTGCCTTTTGAAATTTAGCAGTGCTATATTATTGTCTCTAGAGAAGAATCCAACTTCATATTGCATTGCAGTTTACTGTGATTGGTTGGAATTAGGTAAATTTGTTGATACCACTTTGTTAGACATTTAATTTTGTTTCTAAGGAGCCTGTTTTGACTGGAATCATTTAGATAAAAGGTCATCCCTTCATTTGATTGAATTTGGTGGAAGTGGTACCTGGTGGTTTGAAGAGTCAAATTATGTATTTCTTGGGAGGAAGATGCTTTGCTCAATAGCAGCTATAGTTCCACAAAAGAACTCTATGGAGGCCAGGGATGTAGCTCAGCGGTGCAGCATCTGCCTGGCAAAGTGCAGGGTCCTGAGTTTGATTTCCAGTACAAAAAAAAAAGAAAGGGGGAAAAAAAAAAGGACTCCATCGATTCAGAGTCTAGGGAAATTGTAACACCTCCTGGGCCATTCTGGGGCCAGTGGTCTAGTAGAAATGCTATAAACACTCTAAGCCTGTGGGAAGGAAGGACCATAGCCTAAAAAATTGCTCAAAAAACATTTACTGAGCACTTGAATGGATAGAAGAATGAATGCATGTGGATACATTTTGGTATATATCTTGAGGACTTGTGTGTGCATGTGTGTGTTTAGACACACTTATAGAGATACACAATATGTGTATCCTTGTTTAGAGATATATAGTTATTATATAGACTGTAAAAATAGTTCTCAAAATGTTTAAATAACTTCCTTATGACGTCCAAAGAAACTTTAAAACTGAAGTGGGACATTTGGGGGCATTGCTTAAATATTCTTCTTTTACTTTTCTTGCAAGCAGCAGTGAACATGAAAATGACTTATATCAAAAACATCCACAAATTATTTAAGTGTATAGGTGAAAATACAAATCAGAACATGAAAGATTTATTACACATTTAACACAATGAGAACCTTTTCAATATGAAATGCAGACATAGATGAACACATATACTGAAAGACAGAAACAAAAACAACAATTTACATTTCAAGATGATGTCATTGTCTGTTGAGTCTGATCCTTCTACTTGGAAAGATGCATAAGGCTCACAGAACTAAAGTGGGTTACATGGAAAGAAAAGGACCTGGGTTGGAACCTCACCTTCTGTCCCAGGGTCTTTTCCTGAGATCACATTGTCCAAATGCTTAATATATTTATACAGCCAAGCATTATTTCAACAATTACTTACCTAGTACACAAGCCATATGATATGAGACTAAATGTCAATAATATTAAGAATATTCATTCTACTAAAATTTATTGTATACAATGAGAATCTCAAACTTAGCCATGTGCAGTATGCTTATCTATGATCTCTGCTATTCAGAAAGCTAAGGCAGAATTGCAAGTTCAAGGCCATCCTGGGAAATTTAGTGATACTCTGTCTGAAAAAAAAATAAAAAGGTTTAGGAATGTATAACACCACTGATTTAAATCCCAAGTACTGAAAGACACACACACACACACACACACACACACACACACACACCCTCAATCTCAGTAGTTTTCAGGGCCAGGCAAATCAACTTCTGCTTTATGGCTATAAGAAAACAGAAAATGGAGGTGTTTGTGGTACATGCCCCCACTAAAGACATCTGGATTTTTAAACGAAGATTGTACCTGACAAATCAGAAGTTACAAAACATGGTTGGATGTGGCCTTTGGTACGAGTTTTTAACCTTTAACCATAAACCGCATCTCTGATTTTGCTACCAGTATATAGCAATCTTAACTCTGCTACCTTAACATGAAGTACAACATAGGCATATATAATTTAAGGGTATTTGTGAAGACATAAAATACAAATTTATTTACTTATGAGCATATTTGGCTTCAATTAAAGCAAAATATTCCATTTAACAAAAAGCAAATGAGTCTGTTTTCCGATCTGTCTAAACTGAATGTAAGATCGCATTTTGACTTTTTTTCTCCTCTAGGAAGGATTTGAAAGATGCCATAGATAATCTGGTAGAAGAAAAAAGACACAAAGTTTGCACAGCAGAGAAATTGGAAGAAAGTATGGATTTTGCCACTGAGTTGATTTTTGCTGAGGTACTGACAAGAACTAACCAGTTACCCACCTTACATATTGTGACCATCCGTGTATAAAGGAGAAAAGATCTCATTGGAAAACTGCTGCATATTTCTCTTTCCAAGTGTTTCCTCCAGCATCTTATATAAATACTAGTAAAAGTTCTAGTAAGACTGAATTTTAAGAGTGAAAAGTCTTTAGTATCATGACACAAAATAGGGGAACAGAAAGCAGACAGCCCAAAGATGCTAAACACTGTCATTCCTCAATACCCACAGGGCTTCATTCCAGAACCCTCCCCAGACAGTGAAATACAAGGGTGTTAGATATCACTTATAGAAAGTGATATCGTGTATGCATAGGCCTGTGCATGTCCTCGGCATACTTTAAACCTCCTCTGGATTGTAAAAAATGTCTGTGCTATGGAAAAAGTTACACCACTGTGTAGATGAAAGTGATGAGCAAGGGAGGAATACATGTCCCATATACCCAGATTTAAAAACGTATTTTCCATGTCCAGTTGGTTCAGACCATGGAGGTGGAACCCGAGGATATGAAGGACCAATTGCATGTAGCTAACTGGATAAACTGTGTGCATATTTCAGCTGAAAATTCTCAAGCAAAGTGTTCACAGTCAATGAGAAAGACATAATTTCTGTAATTTCATGTCATTGAAGTGGTGGATCTTTGACTGTCATTTCGCTTTACTGTTGAAATTTTAACTCATTAGTCCAAATGTTTGCCCTCTTTCAAATGCTTAGAAACGTGGAGAACTCACAAGAGAGAACGTCAACCAGTGCATATTGGAGATGCTCATTGCAGCACCTGACACCATGTCTGTCACGGTGTACTTCATGCTATTTCTCATTGCAGAGCACCCTAAGGTTGAAGAGGCAGTCATGAAGGAAATCAAGACTGTTACTGGTAAGTCTATCAATTCAAAAACACAGCTTAAAAATAACTCCCTCTAAATTTGACCTCCTTCACCTAAGAATGTGATGTAAAACAATCAATTGTTCATTATTTACTTGGAGAAAATAAAGCAAATTATTCTGTCACACTTTGACTATGTAGTTTGAAAGATAGTTCTGTATTTATTTGACTTATAAAAATAAGTCATGCTCACTGAAAAACTTCGAATGCCAGAGAGATGTACAAAACAGAAAATGACATCCCCCAGGGCTTTCCACTGTCTTCCCAGCCTCACTCCCCCCACAGGGTAACCACTGCTCAGGTTGTGCTATATATTCCTCAAGACCATTTCCTCTCTGCACACAAACACAGATGGGTATGTTTGTCTGTCTCCAAAGAAGGCAGGATCATGCATAGCATTCTGCCAGCCTTCAGTCACACAAGGCTCTTGTGCATGCATCCAGGAAAACAGCTGTCATTTACAGTAGTGCTTCTGGATTACAAGCAGCCTGATCACAAATGAACTTCCAGAAGGCTGGAGGAGGAGAAAAGGATAACAGCAAAAACAAGTGAGGGATGGGTTTCCTTCTTTGCTGCCCCCTCACCTGCTGGGGAGCCAGCAGGTTCCCACCCCTCCTCTTCCCTGTCTCCCAACTCTATGTCCTGCCTGTGTTTCAGCATTGTCCCATACCAAATCCTCAAGAAACATGGCCCCAGACAGGAGAGACCAACATTGCCTTAACAGAGAAGACAACAGTACTTACAGTGAATTTTTTTTGTTTTGTTTTGTTTTGGCTTTACTTGGCTTAAACCAAGGACCACCACACTGAGCTGCATCTGAAGTACTTTTTCTTTTGTCATTTGAGATAGGGTCTCACTAAGTCACCAAGTCGCCTAACTGTGTTTGAGCTTGTGACCATCATGCAGGTGCCACCATGCCTGCCTTGCTGTGCTTCTTGATGTTCCCTTGACCTTTCAGCAGACCCTGAAAGATGCATAAACAACAGAACATTTGTGTCCATGTTCCCTCCTGTGCTCAGCAGACAGATGTGGTCTCTGAACTAAAGTGAATGCCTTTGGTCAAGCTTGATCCTCTTCCCATCTGCTCCCACCCACTTATGCCCTTCCCACTAGATCCTCAGTACAAGCACTGCATGGGGGCAGGCCTGTTTTTTGGTAAGTGCTATGGCCACACGAGACCCCCTAGGGAGCCAAGTTATAGAGAAGACAGGGCTGCTATAGGATCCTGGGCAGGTTCAGATTCTGCAAAAGCAATGGCCTACTGAGGATCCTCTGTGGTTTTGCCATATCTGGTACTAATCCAGTCTTCTTGACTGGCATCAATCCAGGCTGATAAAGAGATGCTCACCAATACTACCATCCCTGCCCCATAACCTAGTGTGCAGCATGCATTCTGCCACTGTGTGGGTGGATTGTTGCCACTCCACTATAACAGGCTGCTCCTGTTACATGGAGGGACCATCGGGACACATGTGGGAAGATAACTGAAGAGCTCACCAGAGGAGGAAATTTTGCTGAAATGAATTCAGTCCACCATGTTGCTCTGACTAATGCAGCAGCCCATCCTCACTTCTCTGGGATCATTGGGCTTCTGGTTTTCTCATAAATATTCCTTAGATTTTAGAGCAGAGGACCACAAGTCACAGCCTCAGAGGCTGGATAGGTAGGGAGAATGTGTGGAGCAGACTGTGTGTGCTTGACATGGCTCTGTAGAGGGGTGCCCTTCTCAAGGGTAAGTGAACCCTCAACTTCAGTCCTTTGCTCTCCATGTGTTACAATATTTTCTGATTTTTCATGGAATTTCAGTTGATCTATGAAACCTTCCAGGTTTTAAGATAATTGACCTCATATCTCAATTTTAATAAACATCTGTGTTCATCAAATAAAGCATATTTGGTTGTAACTGCCAGTGTGCATTCGAAGTACTGACCTGATTTTTTCAACTAAGAAAACTGTTTGGTGGAAAAAATAGGAAAATTAATGCTCATGACATGGTGAAACTAACATTACCTTCCTTTTCCTTTTTCATCTGTGTCCACAGGTGAAAGAGACATAGAGATTGATGATGTGCAGAAATTAAAAGTGCTGGAAAACTTCATCTATGAGAGCATGCGCTACCAGCCTGTGGTGGACTTGGTCATGCGCAAAGCCTTAGAAGATGACGTCATTGATGGCTATGCAGTGAAAAAGGGAACTAACATTATTCTGAATATTGGAAGAATGCATAGACTGGAGTTTTTCCCCAAGCCCGATGAATTTACTCTTGAAAACTTTGAGAAGAATGTAAGAGACCTTCCTTAAAACTCACTCTGCTACTCTTTACAACATCAGGCTCTGTTCGTGTATCTTTGTACTGTGTACACTTTAATCCTCTTATTACTTCCCCTCTAAGGCCTTCCTGGAAACATCTTCCCTAACTTGGAATATGGCACCATATTTGACCTAACAGATAGGAAGGTGGGTCTTCAGTTCTCAGAAGTATCTAAATGCTGGCAGTTCAATAGGTAAAAAATGAAAATTCCAGCCTCTTTTTTGTCTATGACATCGGTTTCACTGAACCTAGATACTTTGCTTTACCTTTTAAAGCATCATTTTGTCATCATTAAATGTCGCTGGAAGACCATTTCAGTAAAGGAAATCCAGTCTGCTGTGTGTGAGAATCAAATGAGATCAAAAGATTGACTCTTTACACTTTGCCTTTGGTTCATGAAAGTCGCCATGTACAGTAGGTCTCCTTATAAATCACAGTAATAATTATAAGACATTTTTTCTCTTTTTAGTTTGTTTCCACTTAGAATTATTTTTTAAATTTTTATTTGTTCGTTTGTAATGTATAAAAATCGTATTCATCATAGACAACTGGTACAAGTTCATAACACATATTAATTCTATTTACTTCCTCTTCTTCTCCCATCTCTTGGTCCCTTCTCATTTGTAAATAATCTATCTCTATGTTTTCTATGATCTATATTTTATATTGCTCTTTAATTTATCGATGGATTTTGCATGTAAGTGAAGTTGAGATATTTATGATTCTAGATCTGAATTTACTTAACAGTATGGTCTCAAGGTGCATACTTTCTACAAATGATCAAATGTATCCTTCTTTACATCAGAATGATGCTCCACTATGTATAAATACCATTCATCTTTATCCACTCATCTCTGGATCGGGATATAAGCGGCTTGTAAAATTTAGCTGTCATGAATTGGGCTGTTATAAACATGGATGCATGTATCACTGCAATGAGATGTTTTTAATTCTTTCAGGAAGATACCTAGAAGGGAATACTTTGGTTGAACAGAATTTCTATTTTTTTCTTAGAGGCATCTCCTTACTGATCTAGTAGCTTACATTCCCTCCAACAATATCCAACATTTCATTGAAAATAAGACTGAGTCTTATTTTAACTTATGCTCCTAAAATTGCAACCAGGTTTATGTTCAGGGGTGTCATATTTTCTCATGTACAACAATCTACATTTATTCCTGTAAAAAAAGTCTACATTTGTTCATATATAAAAAGCTATATTTATTCAAACATAGCCTGCTCACCTTCTCCCAGAACATCATCATAACGCTCTAAATCCTGAATTCTGGCCTGAATTTCTTGCAGCTCCATTTCCTGTAGAACCACTGGCCCCGATCTCCTTGTCCAGCAATATAGCTTTTCTTAAGTGAGCACTTCTTGCCCCCCATGTAGCTTGCTCATAGTGCTTTGGCAACACACACCGGTCACTGATGTTATCCCATGAATTCTTCACCAAGTCATGACCTCTTGCAAGCCAGTCTCATAGTTTCCACTGAACCCAGTGTTCAACAAAGACTTAGGTGACAGGATTGGCAGCAAAAATGATGAAAGTTAAGAGTGATGGTCCACACAAAAACAATGAAAAATTACAGGCACCAAAATTCATAAAATGTTTATTTTACACATGTGCATTAAGTATACCCATTACAACACACAGTGTATTGAATTATGAAGATTCATATTAAACATAACCATGGCCATTCACATGTTACTTGTTTTCACGTCTGAACTCCCATTGGTTACTTGACAACATACCTCAAGCTCTCCTGTTTACATAAGTGCCTGATTGGGTATTTATAAATATTTAATTATAATTTATATTATTGTTTAATGTGAATGTCCATAATTTATAACTCAATATGGCTCTGATATGTTGCAAAGGACATACTAAATGCCTTTGTCTCCCTATCTTAACTAAGGTCCATTTGTGGGGTAGGGCTTATATTACAGACATCCTGAAAAATCATGGTAAGGCATAAGATCCAGTTAGATCTTATTTTGGTAGAAACATGGTGGTAGTGTTCCTTTTTCCACCACAGCCTTGCCAGCCTTGTTTAATTTCTTATCCACCATCAACCATCACTCTTTTTGGAGTAAGGTGTAATACTGCTACTGTTTTAATTTGTATTTCTCTAATGGTCAGAGATGTTGACCATTTTTTCACATATTTATTGACTATTTGAACTTCTCTTAAGAAGTATCTATTTGTTATAGATGCTAACTGTTTGACTTATTTTAGGGGGTATTTTTTTAGTCCTTTATATATTCTAAATATTAGTCCTTGGTGGTAGGAGCTGCTAGTAAAATTTTTTTCCACTTCTATAGCTCATCTCTTCACTCTGTTGGTTGTTTCCTTTGCTGTTCAGAAGCTTCTGAATTTGCTATAATTCTATTTTGCTGTTATTTCTTGTGCAACTGGAATTCTGTTCAGAAAGACCTTATCAACACCCATTACTTCAAGAGTTTTACCTATTTTATCTTCTAGTAGGCTTACCTTTTCTGTTTTTACTATTTATATCTTTGACCCATTTTGATTTTAGTTTAGTACATGGTCAGACATATGGGTCCAGACTCAATTGTCAATATCTGTATAGCCAGTCTTCCCAGAACTGTTTGTTAAAGGGACTATCTTCTCTCCAGCATATCTTTCTAGATACTTTATCTAAGATCAGGGGGTTGAATGTGCCTAGGTTTGTTTCTACATCCTCTGTTCTGTTCTATTGATTCACATGTCTGGGTGTTTTTTTGTTTTGTGCCAGGACAAAGCTGTCTTAGGGTTTTTATCATGAATGGATTTTTCTATGTCTATTAAGAAGATCACGTGGTTTTTGTTCTTGCTTCTAAAATGTGATTATATTTATTAATTTGTGTATGATGAGCCATCCTTGCATCCCTAGGATGAGGCCTACACGACCACAATGTGTGATCTTTCTAAAGAGTTGTTGCATTCTTTTTCAGTATCTAATTGAGGACTTTTATATTTATGTTTATTAAAGAGATTAGCCTGTGGCTTTCTTTTTCAGTTGCATCTATGACTGGTTTCAGTTGCATCTATGTTTGGAATCAAGGTATTGCTAGCTTCCAAGAGAGAATTTTTCAGTTTGCTTTCCCTTTTCATTCACTGAAGGGTTTGAGGAAAACTGGCATTAGATCATCCCTGAAGGTCTTGTAGAATCAGTTGTGAATCCATTGGATCCTGTACTTTTCTTATTTGGTAGATTATTACTGCCTCAGTTTAATTGCCTTTTGTTGGACTATTCAGACTTTTTTTTAATCTTTTTTGCTCAGGTTTTGTAATTTACATGAATCTAGGAACCTGTCTATTTCTTCTGTATTCTCCAATATATTTTTAAAGTAGTAAATTATAAGCTTCTAGATCTCGGTGGTCTTTGTGATTTTGCCTTTTTCATTTCTGACTACACTGATATAGGTCTTTTCTTCACTTTTCTGGTTTGTTGATTGTGTTTATTCTTTGAAAGAACCAGCTCTTTGATTCATTGATTCTTTTTAATCCCAATTCCATTAATGTATGTTCCTATCTTTATAATTGCCTTCCTTGTACTAGCATTGGATTTAGGCTGTTTTTGTTTATCTAAGATTTGGAGGTATATCATTAGGTTATTTATTTGGGCTTGCTCTGCTTTTCTGATATGGGTATTAATAGCTATAAACGTCTCCATTAAGACTGCTTTCACTGCATCCAATATACTGGTATATTGCTCTAGAATTATCCTTTGATGCTAGGAACTAATTTTTTCCTTGTTTTTTCTATCCATTGATTATTAAAAGTATATTATTTAACTTCCATCTATCGACATAACTTCTCTAATTTCTTTTACCATTGTATTCTAATTTGAGAATACATTCAACTATGACCTGATAGTGTGTGTGGAAAGTTTTTATTCTTTTGCATTTATTTGGAAATGGCTTCATGGGATTCTGTGTGGTCTACTTTGGAGAAAGTATTGTGCTACTGGGAAGACTGTGCATTCTGTTGTTTGGTGGAACATTCTGCAAATATCTATTGGAAGGCTTGGTTCAACTCTGATATTTCTTTGCTTAAATACTGTCTAGTTGATAGGTCTATTATGATATTGGGTATCCAGGTCCGCACTATATAACTGTGTTATTTATCTGATCTTTTACACCAAGTAGTAATTTTTATGCAGCTGTATGCTCTGGTGTTTGGTGTCCATATATTTATGATAGTTATCTCTTTCTCTTGAATTGTTCCCTTAACCAATATGTAGTGATTTTTGCCTCTTCTGATCAGTTGTGGATTGAAGTCCACTTTGTCTGCAACAGGATAGCTACTCCTTCTTGTTTTCAGGCTTGTATTGCATGGAATATTGTTTTCCATCCCTTGACTGCTAGTCTTTGAATTTCTTTTAAGATTATGTGTTTCTTGTATTTACCATAACATTTAGTTTTGTAGTTTGATCCAGTCTGCCATTCCATTCACACTAGCAGTTATTATCAGGAGGTACTGAGTTACTCCTGTCATTGCATTATTTTCCTATTACAGATTCCTTTTTTACACCCTTTGCTTAATAGCTTATTCTGCCTGCTGCGTTCATTCTGCTGTACTTTTTGACATTATTCATGTCATTGTCTCTTTCTAGAATACCCTTGAGAATTTTTTGGAGTGCTGCTTTGGAAGTGCTAAATTTTCAACTTTTTATATCATTGATGAATACTAGAGATTCAGCCTTATATTAAATTCACATGACAGTATTTTTAAGCCTAAGTGCCAATTTTTCTCTTTACTTCATTATAATAAGTCTAGAAAAACAAAGTTAATCTATTAATTTAGCCTGTTTCTATACAGGCAATCCTGATAATGCAATGCAAATCGGTCAACTGAGCAACAAAAATGTATAAGCAACTACCACATGCCAAGGACTATATAAACATGACAAAAAGATGTGGTCCTCATTAATTTGCAAGATGTCTAAAAATAAATATTTTCTATAGACAGGCCAAGAATGAACATCTATTGCCTGTATTTCTCCATATTTGTGGCAGCACCTGAGACCAAACTTTGCCTTGATGATTCAAAGGAATCATAAAACTGAATGTTCTAAAGAACTGGTTTGATTTCCTAACATTACATGTAATAAGCTGACTTGCATCCCTACTGCAGCTCACTCCCATGAAAGGCAAAAGGGGAGACTCTGAGGTTGGGTCTGTATCACCAGAGGTAAATCTCTGGATGAGAAAAGGGCTTACTTCATCTCACTCCTTCATCTCAGTGAAGAACCAGCAAGCGTGTCTAAGCGCTGTGGACTGACCAGACTCTTCAGCATGAATCAGGCACTATACTGCAAGACTCTGGTCTTTCCCTCAGTGTGCTAACTGTCTCATCATTTTCACAGGTTCCTTATAGGTATTTTCAGCCATTTGGCTTTGGGCCCCGAAGTTGTGCAGGGAAATACATTGCCATGGTGATGATGAAAGTCGTCCTGGTGACACTTCTGAGACGATTCCATGTGAAGACACTGCAAGGAAGGTGTGTGGAAAACATACAGAAAACAAACAACTTGTCCACACACCCAAATGAGACAGGTGACCTGCCAAAAATGATTTTAATCCCAAGAAATTCAGAAAAGTGCCTCAAGCACTAAAGAAGCCACCGTCAGCACCTAATCCGGAGCATTTCTAATCAGCAGTTCACATGGAAGCATCATTGTTTAGGCAGTGTCATCCTCACAGTGAACACACAAGGCCCAAGATGTTACATGAGCCTACCATCTATGGCACGTCAGCATGATGGGAACCATCAGACTTCTACCCTTCTTCAAACTACAGAACCCAAGTTCAAAAGAAGGGTTTGGGGAAGATGCAGTCAGTGAAAACACTGCAGCACTAAAGGACCATTTCCACAAAATGTGCTTAGGAAAGAACAAGGCAACAAGAAAACTTCTATGTTCCTGAAGATCTCCACAGCCCTCACCAAACTGCTAAGAGAGCCAGCCCATGTCTAAACATTTCAGGTGAAACATACTGGCTTGGGTAGATGAAGGAGCTTCCACTTGTTTATTAGGCTAGGATGGCAATATTCATACCCTTTAAATACACAGAAATTCAGCATTTGAATTTTCCTAGTAGTTATGTACAGTTTCCTCATATGTGTCCACATATAATCTTTCTGTGGTAAAAGTCAAGTCCCTTTTACAATCTCTCAATTCATACTTCCAACACTTGCCACTGAGATAGTAGGTATAAATTCAGGTAACACAAGCGAACTTACTGACAGCCAGAGTAAAACATGACTAGGACTTTATATGCATTATGTGCACACAAAACACCATGTAAGTTCAAATTCAGTAAGAATCTTTTCTGGGACTGCACTATTGTTTAGTTGCATTAACATAGCTAAGACATGGTTTTAGCAAGCGGCATAAGTCTTATCATAGCTTCAGGAAGGCAAAGTCTTCTGAATCCATATCTTCAGCTACAACCGAATGTATTCTGATTTCTGGGAGTACATCTCTTGTATTATCCTTCTCCCTTGACATCGCCTCCCTCCCTTCTATAACCTCAAAAGTCTTGTTCAATAGATCAGTAGAACCCTGCACATCATTTCTTAAACCCTATCTCTGATTTTTAGAGACTTAACAAGTATCTAATCCATTCAATCACTGTGTGTAGCCATGGATAAAATGGACACCTTGCAATTAGTTCTCTAGAAGGAATCAATAAATGGGTTAATTTAAAAAATTATGTTGGCTGTCTTAGTCTTTCTGAGTGTACATCTTATGTGTCACTTGCAAATGGAAATTAAACTGATTTATTAAGAATTAAATATTTCCACTGAGTCCCTGGTCATCACACCCTATTTGCACATCCTCCTCAGCCTACTGCTTAGAAACAAGATAACAGATGAGTATTGGATGAGTGTAAGTCCACTGAAAGCAGGAGCTATTCTCTTTCTCTTCAAATCTTTCCCCATCCTCATCTCCCCAGGCTAATTCTTCACAATTACTATCAAGATCAGTTCCAAATACAGTCTTTTTCCCAGATACCCTCAGCTGATCCAGAAAACAAGAAAAAGAGGCAGGTATTGTTCAAATTCAAGAATGTGCTTTAATAAGGAAATAAATGAAGGTGTAATTATTTAGATTGTGTGTATAATCTAAGGATAAATGAAACATGTTGTGTACCTAAAAAGTTCTATAAGCAGTGGGGAGAGTCCTCCAAGTAATTGAGATCCCTGAGAGGAATGGCTGGACTTGAGATATAAGGACTCCAAACTATCTCACTTGAAGATTATTAGTGCAAAGTACGGGGCCCAGAGTACCAGGAAGCCTTGGAATGTCACTCCCAGGCAGTAAGATCCAACCCCCCCCCCATGTCTAAAATCACCAGAAGATGCTCAGGAGGTCCCCGTGGGCCTAAGTGGCCCATGCCCAGAGAACCCTAAACAGCTGGCAGAGACCTGAATTCAGTCCCGGCACTGAGCATGCATGGGTTTAATCCCAACACACAAGGAAGCTTTGGAACATCACTCCCAAGTGGTAAGACCATGCCTCATCTCTCAAGTCTCAGGAGGACAAACGGGAGTCCCCACGGGCCCACATCCAGAAAACTCCAAGTGGCTAGCAGTTGCCTGTTCTCTGCCTTGGGAGCCAAAAGTGGACCAGGTGATTCCATGGGGGAAGCTTTGAAACATCACCCAAAACCCGGAAATATAGGAAAATGTCAAAACGAAAGAGCAAAATGCAATCTCAAACCTCCAACCCAAGCCCAACCCAAGCAAGCCTAGGAGACATGGACACAGAAGAAAAGGTAAGCCATACACCTGAAATGATAACATCTGAAATAAAGAAACAACTCCAGGAAGCTATAAAACAACTCAAATCAGAAATAGTCTCCCAGGTAAAAGAAGAAATGATAAATGCTGAATACATCTAAAGAAGACATAGTTAAAACATTAGAGGAAAAATGCAAAAAGATGGAAACTCTGAATGAACAATGTAAGAAACAAACAGAATGCATGGAGCAGATTCAAACAGATATACAGGAAATCAAAAATTCCATTGAAAGTTGGCAAAACTGCCTCAACAAAAGTGAAGATAGAATTTCAGACCTTGAAGACAAGATTGCAGCTAATGAACAGGAAAGGAAAGATCTTTTGGAAATAACAAATGATGCAAAGAAAAACAATATAAGATCGATAGGTATAAACGAAAAGGAAAGTGACAACACAAATGATATCAAGAGGCTATTTACAGAAGGAATAGCTGAAAATTTCCCAAACATGAGAATGGAAACTGACCTACAGATCAGTGAAGCATATAGAACTCCAAATAATCATAACCAAAATAAAACTACACCCAGATATATAATAATCAACATCCCAGAAATCCAACATAAGAACAGAATATTAAAAGCTGCTAGACAGAAGAGACAGATCACCTATAAAGAAAAGCCTATCAGAATCACAGAAGACTTCTCAACACAAACAATAAAGTCAAGAAGAGCATGGAGTGAAGTATTTCAGATCCTAAAGGAAAACAACTTCCAACTCAGACTGATGTACCCTGAAAAACCGTTCTTCAAAATGGATGAAGAAATAAGATACTTCCATAACAAAGAACAGCTGAGGAACTTCATGACCACCAAACCAACCCTACAAAAAACACTGAAAGACATTCTAGACAGACATAGGAAAAAAACACTAAGAAAAGCAAACAAACAGAGTGGAAAGGTAAAGAATCAACAGCAGAAAGATAATATGTCAAAAGTAAACAAATATATATCAGTTACAACCATTAATTTAAATGGCCTCAATTCACCAATTAAAAGAAACAGACTGGCAGAATGGGTCAAGAAACAACATCCAACTATATGCTGTATACAGAAAACCCATCTAACCCAAAAGAAAGCTTCTAGACTGAAAGTCAAAGGATGGAAAACAATACTCCATAGAACAGGATCCCCCAAAAAAGCAGGGGTAGCTATTTTGTTTGCAGACAATGTGAACCTCAAGCCAAGAATGATCCAAAGAGATAAAGAAGACCACTACAAACTAGTTAGGGGAAAACTTCAAGAGGAAGGGATACCAATCTTAAATATATGTGCACCAAATTTGGGAGCACCCAGCTATACAAAACAAACATTAACAGAATTGAAAAATCAAATAAGCAATAACACAATTACAACAGGAGACCTTAACACGCCATTGACACAAAGGGACAGATTAACTAGACAGAAAAATCAGCAAAGAAATAACAGAACTGAATCACACCTGTGAACAAATGGACTTAGTAGAAGTATACTGAGTGTTCTACCCAACATCAGAACATACATTCTTCTCAGCAGCACATGGAATGTTCTCTAAAACAGACCATATACTAGTCCACAGAACATGCTTAAATAAATGAAAAAGAATTGAAATTATCCCATGCATGTTATTGGATCATAGCACCATGAAACTAGAAATTAATGACAAAAGAAACCTCAAAAACCCTACAAATATACAGAAATTGAATAATACACTCCTGAGCAATCAGTGGGCCACAGAGGAAATTAAAGAAGAAATTAAACAATATTTACAGGCAAACAAAAATACAGATACATCTTACCGGAACCTGTAGGATGCAATGAAAGCAGTCCTTAGTGAGAATTTATTGTGGTGAACTCCCACATCAGGAAAACAGAAAGAATACAAATAAACAACCTGATGCTACACCTCAAACATCTAGAAAAAGAAGAGCAAGTCAAGCTCAAAGCCAAAAGAAAGGAGAAAATTATAAAGGTCACAGCAGAAATCAATGCAATAGAGACTAAGAAAACAATACAAAGAATCAATGAATCAAAAAGTTGGTTCTTTGAAAGAATAAATGAAATTGACAGACCTCTAGCCAACCTTATTTTAAAAAAGGAAAGAAAAAACTCAAATTCATGCAATAAGGAATGAAAAGGGTGTGAAATCACTACAGACCCTGTGGAAATACAGAAGATCATCAATACCTACTTTGAAAACCTTTACTCTCATAGGTTTGATAACACAGAAGAAATGGATGGATTCCTAAAAACATACGAAGTACCAAAGCTGGGTCAAGAAGATGTAAAACTGCTGAATAACCCAATTTCAATTAATGAAATTGAAAATGTAATTAAATCCCTACCAACAAAGAAAATCCCAGGGCCAGATGGATTCACTGCGGAATTCTACAAGAAATTCAAAGAAGATTTAATGCTGATATTCCTCAAACTCTTCAATGAAATTGAAAGGGAAATAATCTCCCTAACTCATTCCTGGAAGCAAACATTACTCTAATACCAAAACCTGAGAAAGACCCAACTAAAAAAGAGAACTACAGGCCAATCTCCCTAATGAACATACATGCAAAAATTCTCAATAAAATTTTGGAAAACAGAATGCAGCAAATCATCAAGAAGATTACACACCCTGACCAAGTGGGATTCATCCCAGGAATTCAGGGATGGTTCAACATATGCAAATCAATAAATGTAATCCACCATATCAACAGAGCCAAAAATAAGAACCACATGATCATTTGTATAAATGTAGAAAAAGCTTTTGATAAGGTCCAACACTTATTCATGATAAAAACCTTACATAAAATTGGAATAGATGGTCTTTACCTCAATATGATAAAAGCCATCTATGACAACCCAACAGCCAGAATCATATTAATTGGCCAAAAACTGAAAGCCTTTACCCTAAAATCAGGAACAAGACAAGGATGTCCACTGCTATTCAATATAGTGCTGGAAATACTAGCCAGAGCAATAGACAAGAGAGAGAAATAGAAGGAGTAAGGATAGGAAAAGAAGAAGTTAAATTATCATTATTTACAGATGACATGATGCTCTACATAGAAGACCCCAAAACTCCATCAAAGGACCCCTAGGTATAAATAAATTCAGTAATCTAGCTGGATACAAAGTTAACACTCAAAAATCAATAGTATTCCTATACACTAACAACAAAACCACTGAGAGAGAAATAAGAGAAGCTACACCCATTATAATAGCATCCAACAAAACGAAATACTTAGAATTAATCTAACAAAAGAAGCAAAAGATCTATTCAGGGAAAATTACAATACCCTGAAAAAAGAAATAAAAAAGGACGTCAGAAAATGGAAAGACATCCTTTGTTCATGGGTAGGAAGAACAAACATTGTGAAAATGGCCACTCTCCCAAAATTGTTATACAGATTTAATCCAATATCAATCAAAAAGCCACTAGCATACCTCCCAGCTCTAGAGAAATCACTCCTAAAATTCATCTGGAACCAAAAGAGACCTAGAATAGCAAAGGCAATTCTAAGCAACAAAGGCAAGGCAGGAGGCATCACAATCCCTGACTTGAAATTATACTACAAAGCTACAGTAATAAAATCAGCATGGTACTGGAATAAAAACAGACCTGAAGATCAATGGAATAGATTAGAAATACAACTACAACTACAACTACAAACACCCTCAGCCACCTTCTCTTTGATAAAGGGGCCAAACATGTCCACTGGAAGAAAGATAGACTCTTCAATAAATGATGCTGGAAAAATTGGCTCTCCATATGCTGAAAACTAAAACTAGACCCATGCCTATCACCATGTACTAAAGTCTAAATGTATCAATGATCTATATTAAAACAGAAACACTAAATTTGTTAGAAGACAAAGTAGGTAGAAATCTTGCAGACATATGGGTAGGTAGAGAATTCAAGAACAAGAATCAAACCACAT